TCTTGTGCTTAAGTGATTCTCTTACTTCAGCCTCCCCGATAGCTGGAACTACAGGCACTCACCACAATGTCTGGCTATTTTGATGTTGTTATTGTTGTTGTTGTTGTAGTTGTCATTGTTTAGCAGGCCTGGGCCTGGTTCGAACCTGCCAGCCCCAGTGTATGTGGCTGGCACCCTAACCACTGAGCTACAGGCATTGAGCCTAGTAATACAATTTTTAAGTGAACTAATTTAAGTGAACACTTTTTAAGTAATACAATTTTCTGGTGGAACTAATACAACCTTATGGAAAGAAGTATGGAGAATTCTCAAAGAACTAAAAGTCAATCTTCCACTTCATCCTGCAATCCCATTAACTAGGTATCTACCTAGAAGAACAAAAGTCATTTTACCACAAAGACATTTGCACCAGAATGTTCATTGTGGCTCAATTAATAGTTGCCAAGTTATGGAGGAAACCCAAACACCCATCAACCCCTGAATGGATTAACAAACTGTGGTATATGTATACCATGGAATACTATTCAGCCATAAAAAGATGGAGACTTCACATCTTTTATGTTTACCTGGATGGAGCTGAAACACATTCTTCTTAGTAAAGTATCTCAAGAATGGGAACAAAAAGATCCAGTGTACTCAATACTAATATGAAACCACTATATAAACACATGCTCGTATGAATGATAAAACACAAATCTAGTCTAGCAAGGGAGAAGGGCGAGAAAGGAGAGGGGAGGGTGATTGGCAGGAGGAAGGAGGGCATTTGGTGGGATCTCACCTAATATGCACTGTGCAAGGGTGTTCAGCATGTCCCCCTGGGTGGAGGTCTCTCTCAGGTAAACTTGAACTTTACCTTGGAAGTGAGAACAATGTAACCTAAAAACTTGTACCCTCATATTAATTTGAAAAAAAAAGTTACTGTGCTAACTTAAAAAAATAAAAAATTGGTGGGTTAGTTTTATATAGGGAATCTAGTCCCTGAATTTCTTGCCACTTTCAATTAATTAGCTAGCTCATCAAGAGGGATTCTGTCTGTCCCCTCCCTGGCGGCCAGAGATAAATGCCCTGTGTACCAATGAAGCTATGCTGGAACCTGCAGACAGATCCAGAGCAGGTGGCCCCACCCCCTTCCCCTTGGACTGTCTTGGGAGTGGTGGGAGCTGTAACCTTCACTCTCCCCTATACAGTAAGCCCGCTGCCCTCCCCCCTAAGGCTAAAGTGGGATGAAGGCAGCCTTAAAGTTTCCTTTTGTTGTGTTTGCACTTGGTAAGTCTGTGTTCTCCATGTAAGGGCTTACTCATTTAGAAGAAAAATAACCCACTTTCAAAGTTACTTTTAGAGCCAGAAATGCAATCTTTAATCATATTTAAAGGATATTGAGTGACTATAGTTAACTATAATGTATTCTATATTTCCAAAGGCCCCGGAGAGAGGGTGTGAATGGTTCCCAACACATAGAAGTGATAAATACTCAAAGCGATGGATACCATAAATGCCTCGACTGGGTCATTCCTTAGTCTATACATGTAACAGAAAATCACATGTGCCCCATAAATACAGGACATATTATGTATCATTAAAAAAGAGCATTTGAATTTTGTTGAGAAATGCTCAAAGTTGTCATATTTGGAGGAAAGGTGTTACACAAAGCTATACACGTATCTAAATACTTATTAATCACTTTGGGTTTTTTTTTTTATGACAATGGCATTTGTCATCTCTGATTGTCTGCTAAGTTCCAGTGGATGACTTGTTGACTCTCTGCCACACCTGTCAGCAACAGAGGTCAAGTTGAGGGATGATGACACGAAGGACGCTCCAGCTCCATCTCTGTTTTTCTCAGTACTGTATCCTTAATGCCTAACTCCACACCTGGCACCACGGGGCCGCTCAACATATGATGCTGAATAAATGAACATCTCCAAAGATGACAGCATTGGTACAGAGAGAAAGCACTTCCATGCTAGAGCTAGAGGGGACAGGCATGGGGGCTGCACCTCTTAGGAGCAGAGGAGGTAAGATGAGGGGCTGTGATTCCTTCCCCGCTAACCTCTGAGGCCATGGGACCGCCAGTGCACTATACATTTTAATGGAACAGGGGCAGGGCAATGCAGGGGTAAGGAGATGAAGTTTGAGAAAAACCTGGTACAACATTTGGACCCTTGAGATGTGAAATTACTTATCCCCTTGGAGACTCAGTGTCACCATCTGATAAATGGGGATAACAATGCCGACCTCACAAGGTTACTACAAGGACTAAGCGGAGTGATGCATATGAAGCACATGGCACAGAGACTGCTATCACGGCAGAGTCATGGCCGGCCCTCATTTTTTCACTTAACTTGCTCACATTGTAAGGCAGCATACACAGTGGGGTCCTGTAGCCAAACTGCCTGGGTCTGAATCCCAGCTTATCACTTAAAGGTGGGTGGTCTTAGGAAAGTTATTTAATTGTTCTGTGCCAGAATTTCTCATTGTGAAAAATAGGATAATAGTGTGTATCTCAGAACAGGATCTGGCACACAAGCACAGTGGTAAGTATTAGCTGTCTAATAATGATTGTACGCTAGGCATTTCCATATTTCCAGCCCAGTAGAGCTGGTGGAAACTAAGAGATGATAGCTGGGAGCAGACGGATGTGCTGACAATGTGGTGATGGGGGATCTCACAGTAGATGGGCTGGTCTCTGTCTCTTCAGTGCTCCAACCTGAGCATGCATCAGATTCACCCTGCACACTTGTGAAAACCCAGTCTGCAGGGGCCCCACCCCCAGAGTTTCTGATTCACTGAGTCTGGGCAGGCTTAAAAGTTTGCATTTCTAATAAGTTACCGGCAGCACAGTGGCACCAATGCTGCTGGTTCAGAGACCGCACTCTAGGAGCCACTGCCATGTAGCAAGAAAGGAAGAAGGAAAAATGCAGAAAAAGTTAGGAGTTCCGAGACAGTCCCAAACAGGACTGTGTTATGGACACTGGCAGTGAGAGTCATTTAATCATTTACCAATTCAGCAAATATTTACTCACTGCCACCTGTGAGCAGAGCCCTGTGTTCACCAATCAGCTGCAAGGGCAAAGATTAGGCTGAGCAGAAACAATAGTGAGTTGGAGAGGACGATCCATGTGTTGAATTAAACCAGAACAGTGCTGCTATGGTTTGAGTGTGTTCCCCAAAGTCCATGGGCTGGAAACTCAAGCCCCAGTGCAACCGTGTTGGAAAGTGGGGCCTAATAAGAGGTGATGAGGTCATGAGGGCTCCGTCCTTATAAACGGACTAATGTTATCACAGGAGTGGATCTGGTATAAAAGCGAGTTCACGCCCCGCTTGATCTCTTGCTTTTACCTTCACTTGCTCTTCTGCCTTCTAGAAAAAGATGACGCAGCAAAAAGGCCCTCGTAAGATGCCGGCACCTTAATACTGGGTTTACTAGCCTCCAAAACTTCGAGAATGAGCTTCTATTGTTTATAAATGACCCTCCAGTTTAAGACATTCTGTCACAGCAGCACAAAATAGACTAAACCAAACACTACCAAAAAAAAAAAAAAATTGGGGGGCAAGACACGATTCTAAGCGGAACTTTACCTAACAAATGCAATCAATGTAACCTGGCTTTTTGTACCCTCAATAATCCCCAACAACAACGACGACAACAAATTAATAGAAAAAAAAAAATCCCACTCCCCATTAGGCCTGACTCTCAGTCTAAAAATAGAGTTATGATCCCTATGTACCAGGGTTGTTTTGAGAATTAAACAAAAGCAAACTAAATTAAACTAAGATAAGATAAACTAAGATAAGGCATAGCATTTAGCATAGTGCTTGGCATATGGTAAGTACCCAACAAATATTGGCTGTCGTCAGTATTATTATTGGGTAACTCTTTCAGATACCTGCCAAGAGGTTGTTTGCCATAGAAAGACATTCCAATGAGCATGGAATTAAACCTCATTATGCCAAAAGCCTAGAATCCCAGACAACAGAAAAACATTTTTTTTAATCACAGGATTCAAAATTACAACCTGGCCACAAGAGATTAGAAGATATCTTTGGATGAAGAAGGTATTTGCAGGCAGGGTGCTCTGTGGAACCCATGAATTATGCAAGTGCGAGTCCGTTAGTCAGCCAGAAGGGTAAGTATTCTTACTGAGGTTTTTTATTTTCCCCTTCCTTTGCAAATGCCAGCTAAAAAGTAATTCCAGAACAATGGAAATCTGAGATGAGAAACAGTTACAGCTAATGTGGCCAGGCCTTCTCCTAGGATCACCCCAGGCCTTCTGGGACATGTTCTGACAACTTGCCCTTTTTTAGACCTCTGAAAGGGGATGATGTCCCTACCCCTTCCCTCGGAATAATATTCTGCAGTGAAATATGACTCACTGTCAGGGCCCTGGTCTTCAAGTTCCCCTTTCTCTTCTTGACCCACTTTCGTCTTACTGTGCCCTTTTGTACAAAGTCAAACGAAGCCTCCCTTGGACGAGGCTGCTTTGCGAGGACTGACATTTAAAGACCATTACCACCTCTTAAACTCAGGCCTGTTCATTTAGCCAAGCAAAGCATGTTTAATTCTTTTAATCTTCCCTCATAAATCAATCTCTACGTTCCCTTAATAGTCCTCCTGCGCTTTGAACTCTGTCCAGTCTGGCAGTCCGGAGCTCTTGTTCCATTTATATTTGAGAATTACCAATCACGAAAAGCCCGTTCAGGGGGGAATGGCTGGGCCTCGCCAGGGCTCCCAGTGCTGTCCCTGTGCTGGGCTGCCAGCTGCCAAAGGGCGCTGAGGGCTCAGAGGAGAGCACCACATCTGCGGGGGTGGAGCAAGCCCTGCCCAGCGGCCAGCCCGGCTTGGGCAGCCTTGCAGCTCTGTTGCCCGCTCCACTGTGGGTCTTTCAGATGGACTCAGCCCACTTGGCAAGTGGTCAAGGGAACTGCATGTGAAGCCACCTGAGGCACTTGCACCTGTCCAGGCCAACAAGGGTCCCTGGATAAGCCTGGGGGGGTCTTACCTGGAAGGTCCCAGCGTGGTCTTCTTCCTTATCACCCTCTCTGTTCTCTTTGAGGGCAATTAATGTGAATCCTCTGAAGTAGGAGGGCGGAGCAGCAGAAAGTGTTACTGTGGAGAGAGAAAGCAGGTTATAAGCATAGAAATCACCTGATCTCATTTGTCAAATGGGATAGACCTGAGTTCTCCATCAGGATCCCAGACCTGCCGGGCAGAGGGGCAGCGGATAGTGGGAAAGCCTCATCTACTGAGAGAGAACTAGTTCCCTCTTCACTCAGCTCCTTACATTTCAGAGCCTACTCAATGCCTGAGCTGCTGTCTCACTTGGAAATTCTTGAACCAATCAGAGGTGCCAATTGGATAAAGATACCAACTTGATTTTGGTCATAAACTCCAATCTTGACAATTATCTAATATTATACATCAATTAGATTGGCCCAAGAAAAAGCTAGCTCTTCACAGCCCAAACAGGAGTAGGATGGCCTTTGTAGCAGAGGCTGGTGTGTGTTCTCCAAAACATATTTCATTTTTTTTTCTTGTGGAAACTTAGCTAGACCACATTTCCCAGCCTTCCCTGCAGTTAGGTCAGTTTATGGCCAACGTCTGCCAGGGTAAGGCATGAACAGACATGATACACAGTGCGACTTAGTTTCCCCTTATCTCTGGGGCATGTGTTCTAAGACCTCCCCCCAGGTGGATGCCTAAAACCACAGGTGGTACCAAACTCTATACGTGCCATCATGTCTGTGATAAAGTTTAATTTATAAATTAAGTATGATAAAAGATTAACAACAATAATAAAACTGAACAATTCCAACACTACTCAGAATAGCATGCAATTTAAAACCTATGAATTGTTTCTTTCTGGAATTTTCTATTTAATATTTTTGGACCACAGTTGGCGATAGGTAACTGAAACAGAAAGCAAAACCGCAGATGAGCGGGAACTACCACATTCCACTTCCACGCCTGACCCGTGCAAACTTTCTACATGATCCTCTGCCCTCCTGCCTCTGCCTGCTAACTGCAGGGGACCCAGCAGAGGACTCTGATATGCCCGGACAAGGACGGGGGGGCCACAAGATGGAAGGAAACTGGGTTTTTGAAAAACCCCACAAGAATCACCCACTGACCAAAAATATCCATATTGTACTTTGCATGAGCTGGAAATAACTTAGGCTGGGAGGGGTTACTTGTTACAGCAACTAGAGTGATGATTCTCTTACACTCTTTCTTTCCATATCTGCCCAGAGAACTTTCTCAATTGAAATCCACCTCATCAGAAAGGTAGTGATCGTCAGCCCTCCTGTTGGAGCCCTAATCTCCTAAGATGGAAATCTTCTGTTGCAATTTGTTTTTGCACCAAACAGGTTGACTGGCCTTCCCCACTGGACTCTGTGTCAACAGAGGAGAGAGGCTGGGTTTTCTTTCTTTTTGTATTTCTAGCATCTAGTACAGAGCCTGGTATCAAGAGACATTCTCTTCACATTTCTCGAAATTGACATAAATTGAGATTTAAATTACTGCCTACATTAAAGTGCTAAGATTCTGGGGTTCTAGATGTTAGATATGGAGTTATAGACTATTAGAACTCTGACAGATTTCAGTTGTCTTCTAATCCAGCCCTCCAATTTCACAGATAGGAAAGAAAGACACAGAAAGGTGGACAGGCACACCCAGGGTCTGAAGACCATCTGGAGGCTGACTTAGGGCCACAACTAAAGACCCCCTCTCCCCAGTTTAACACTTTACTCATGGCTTCACATACTGAATAATATATATGGATCTCCCATAAGTATTAACAAATCATTAATTTTTAAACTTAAAAATCAATTCATTTAACACATATTAATATGTATGTGATGATAAGAAGCAGTCTGTTGTTGGGGAGGAGCATTAAGTCTTCTAAATCCTAAAACTAGGCTGGGCGCCCATAGCATAGTTGTTAGAGTGCCAGCCACATACACGGAGGCTGATGGGTTCAAAACCGGCCTGGGCCAGCTAAACAACAATGACAACTGCAACAAAAAATAGCCGGGCGTTGTGGTGGGCAACTGTAGTCCCAGCTACTTGGGAGTCTGAGGCAAGAGAATCACTTAAGCCCAAGAGTTTGAGGTTGCTGGGAGCTGTGACACCACAGCACTCTACCAAGGGCAACATAAAAATCCTGAAATTAGTTCTAGTCCTGAAAGTGAAGCACCTGAAAATTCCAAAAAACTAAAGCTGCTATCTTAGATGATGTAGCAGTGGTCCCTGAGCCACCAAAACAATGACAACATGGAGAAGAGCTTTAAGACATAGATATTGCAAGTGTCATGCTGCGATTGGCCAGTCAGTCTACCAAAGTAAAGGAGAATTCTGATTGGCTACTGATATCTATGAAAGATCAGATAGAAAGGAAGAAAAAATGAGGGAAAAACCCATTAAAGAGTAAGAAGAGTATAGTACGTGGCAGTGTCAGTAGACAGAGCTGGGATCTTTGAGGGATGGACAGATAGATAGCCCCAAAACAGTCTAAGGGTCTCTAGGATGGGGCCTTCAAGGCGTTTGTACACAGTTCTGGAGGAAGGGGAGCAGAGGACAAAGCAGGAAACAGTAGGTATACTTCATTTAGATTTCCTCAAATGTCTTTTGACAATTTTCACGTGACCCTGGCATGGATGTCACTTTGCCTGCAATGATCAGCACCTATGGTTCTTTTTCAGAGGACTGACCTTGGGTTACTGGAGCCCACACTGCCTAATAAGAAAGGTCCAGCTCCTTTGCATCAGGTAAGGACCGCTCTGAAGGGTACTTTACACTCCAAAAGAGCCCCACAACATCAGTCTGAAACTGCCCTGAGGGACTACACCTGGGATCACGGGCTAGGAGGGCTCCCACCCGATCTCTGTCCTCTTTCCCCACTTCCTTACTGGTTTCCCCTAGAAACATTTACTTGAAAAATCACTTTGTATCCACATCTTCATCTGAGCCTTGAATAACACAAGGGTTAAAATGTGCCCCCCAAAAGATATACTGAAGTTCTAACCACTGGTACCTGGGAAGGTGACTTTGGAAATGGGGTTTACCAGGTATAATCAGTTAAGACAAAGTCATACTGAATTAGGCTGGTCTTAAACTCCTGAGCTCAAGCAATCCACACACCTCAGCTTCCCAAAGTGCTAGGATTATAGGCATGAGCCACGGCACCTGGCTTCTACTATTTTTGCTAGGGTACAACAGACCTAGGAAATGAATACAATTAGCTTCACGGGAACCCAACCTAAGGCAGATGATCAATCCCTGCTCCACAGCCACTGGCTTCATGATAAAATTCAAACTCTATAGGCCAAATGTCCTTGGATTCTGCCTCTCCAGCCTCCCCAACCACATTCCTATTCCCTCACTGAACCACCTTTCAATCCTGGGATTCACTCACTGGCAGTATCCTGAAAAGCCATTATCACTTCACCCTACAGTATTTTTTACAGGCTACTCATATGCCTGGAATGTTTCACCTCCTCCATTCCTGGCAAACTTCTTCACAAATCAGCTAAATTTTCACCTTTTGTGTATGTTCCCAATTTCCCTATAAAGACCCAGGCACTCTGTTTCTTGGACTGTTGAGATGAAAAAAATATCTACATAACAGCACATACCTCAAAATATCAGTGTGAGATACAAATAAAGTGATATATCTCAAGTCCTTAAAACTATACTTTTGTATGCAAATAGGAACTTAATAAATTCAACTCCCATTATCAGTGATGAGACTCTCACATTTCATTATATTTTGTGTTCATGTGTGTGTTTGCACCTTTGTAAGGCCTTTAAGGGCAAGAACCCCATCTGAGCTCAGCATGGTCGTCAACAGAGTCAATGGGCAGTTAAATCTACTTAACAGTGTTCCTGGACTGGTAGACCCAAAGATGTCAATTCTTCTCAAATGGATCTATAGATTTAGTGCAACCTAAATTAAAATCCTGGCATGCATTTTGTGATATTGACAAGCTGGTTCTAAAATTTATGTGGAAATGTGAATGTCCACAAATATCCAAGATAATCTTGAGGAAGTAATGCAAAATTGGAGTGGTTACACTACCAGATATCACAACTTATGCAGCTAAAGAAATGAAACCAGCTAAAGAAAAATGAGCCAGTTGAAAAGTTTAGGGTCCAGAAAAGTTCCACAAATACATGGCATCTTGATGTATGATAAAAGATGTTCTGCAGAGCAGTGGAGAAAAGATGATCTTTTCAATAAATGGTGCTAAGACAACTGGATAGCCACGTGGAAAAAGGTATATCTGGCCCCTTACTGCACATCATTCACAAAATAAAGTCCACATAGATTGCAGAGCTAAATGTAAAAAGTAAAATAATAAAGTTTTTAGACGGTAGCCTAGGATAGAATGTGAATGACCTTGGAAGAGGAAAGATTTCTTACACAGACATAAAAAAGTGCTGACCATAAAGGAGAAGAGATACAAAGGGGGTGATATCAATCTTTTGCTCATCAAAAGATACCATTAAGAGTGAAAAAGCAAGTCACAATATGGAAGAAGGTATTTTCAATCATATAACTAGAAATTGACTTTTATCCAAAATAAAGAAAGAATTCTTTCCGATCAATATGAAAAAGACAGATAACCCAATAGAAAAAAATAATAGGCAAAAGGCATTAACACATCACAAAAAAGGTGCCCAATGGTCAACAAACGTATGAAAAGGCTCTCCATCTCTTTAGTCAACAGGGAAATAAAAAATCTACAATAAAATAATACTGCATAGCTACCACATTGACTAAATATAAAAGAATTAACATCTAATATTGGCAACTGGAACTTTCATACACTGTTGATAGACATGAAAGTAAGTTTTGCTGGAAAATTCTTTGTAGTCTTTACTTAAGTTGAAGACTACATAACTCATGGCCTGGCAACACCTCTCTAAATCAACAGAAATGCATACATATGTGCACCAAAAGACATGTTAAAGAATAGTAACATATTTGTAGGAGCACCCAACTAGAAATACTCAAATACTCACTAGCAGTAGAATGGACATTTAACTCATGGCATAATCATATAACCAAACACCTTACAGCAATGAGAATAAACAAGTACTGCTAC